AATTCGACTTAAACATTGACATCATGACGACTTAAATATCTTGATGCACGTAGCACTCAACTGTTCTAAATCGTGACAACCGGTAAAGTTGACTATCTCGTAAAAAGCTTGGATAACGGCAAAACTGACTGTTTTGCAACAAATATGCTCAAATACAGCTGCGCTTTAACGTCCACCAAACAGCCTCGATAAACGTCCAGTACACTTATTTATAAACATTTCCATTTCTTTTTAACTTTCCGAACTGTCTCCTCCTTCTTAACAAATGAATGCGTCGTTAACCGACAAACTGTCCTTTCTTATCCTGAAACTAATTAGCTAACGCCGCGATACCTAACAAAACTTCTTATTTACGACTACATATAAATTTTAAAAAATCCTACGCAATTACTTCCATATGTTTAGATCTTTTACCACTTAATAAAATTGAACAAATAAATAAAACACAAGGTGACTATTTAAACAAAATGAACAATTAATAATTCTGATACAAAACAAAATTGACCTAAAATTCAAATGACATGAACGGAATTACTTCTGTTAACGACCGATGGTTGCTAAGGGTTTAAGCTTGTAAATGAAGTTAAATTTGATAACAAATTATTATCAGTGTGTGATAAAAATGAAAGATACATATTTTATATGGGAGTTTTTTTTACAACTTATTTCCTAAATAACGGCGAAAGTGCAGGAATTAGCTAAATAATTTTTGTTTCATGCAAATGTCGGAACATTATATATTTGAATGAATGCTATTTCAACCAAAAATTTGTACCCAGAAGGCCGTTATTGTGGAAACAAATTTCTAATTTTTCGATGTAAACGCCACCTTAAAAATCCAGATTCCGACGGAAGTACACAGACAGAGAAAACGGTCATATAGTAACAACCTCAATTCTCAATATACACTAAAAGGTGGGCCATCATGCTGTCTGCACCAATTCTTATCTTGATCAAAAACCATTTCATTTTTGGATTTACTAAAATTCCGCATAAGAAAACGGGACATCTCGCACTAGGGCAACTTCTTAAGAAGCCTTTAGATGATTGAATTTGTAAAACAGAAATGACATTTAATTCAATTTTTGGTGTTCCGATCTTTAGTGGCATCGAAATGGCGTGCTAGAAACAATTAAAATCAAATGAGTTGTAAGTGAATGGAATACGCCTCTCGTAGGTACATAAAAGTGGATTAAAAGTGCGTTCAAAGCGGTTGTAAATTATCATTAGATGCCGAAAAGCCAAAAATAAATGTACAAATTAACGGCCTTCGGCCGGATACAGGAAATTAAGCGAGTGGTAATGGACTACATAAATGAAATGTAGAAATGTAAACGGAACCCCAAATTATCGACTCATCACGACATAAGACGATATTCGATAATAAATGAGTACCTACCTACCTGGCCTATACCCATGTGCCGAAAGTTCAATTTTAATGCAAAAGAGAGCGTAATTTATTTACGTAATGTAATCGCGTACAAAAACTATAATATGAGCGTTTAAAATGCCATCGTTTTTCCACATTTAAAAAAGCAATACCGGCTAACATGTAATCGGATTTTTTTTGTGTGCGTGAATAATGTACGAAAATAGCCCGTTATATAACTTGTGTGATAATTGCGTGTAGGAGGATTACGCTGTTACGTCCAGTAAACAAAGATTAACGCGCCAAAACGTTAAGGTGGGTGACTTTTATTAGACTTCAAAATATAAACATCAATTATAAGGTAACAATTAAGTGACAACGTGTTAATATTTTTTGTACTCCGTGAACTAAATCAACGTGATTTGTCTTCCATCTAAGGGACTAGTAGGTACAAAGGGCTCGACTTTGAGGCCTAGGTACGCGTGGACCCTGTCCGCCCTCTTATCGTAATCTAGAATCCAGAGTAAGGGACTAAAATGTCACGAGGGATAACAAGTTAAACAAGTTAAAAAGTAATCGTAAATGATTTACAAAAAGCGCATTTCCACTTGCATTCATTTCCCATTTGTAAGATGCAACTTCTGTTAAAATCGTAAAAATTCGGCCACAAATATGAAAGAAGGATGGCGCTTGGAACAAAGGAAATCTAACGTTAGCTTCCAAATTTAGGTTTGCGCATGCGCAGTGCCAACTTTCTTATTTAGGAAAGCATTGAAATGAAATTCTTCTTATAAACTGCAATTAAAGTAGCACGTCAAAAATGGATTGCACATACGAGTATACAACGCTATCTTTCATATCTGTGGCCGGATTTTTACGATTTTAACAGAAGTTGCATCTTACAAATGGGAAATGAATGCAAGTGGAAATGCGCTTTTTGTAGGTAAATCGTTTACGATTACTTTTTTAACTTGTTGAATTTGGGAGGCATCAGTAGTTTCCTCATAGCTTATTTTCCAGAGTTTTAAATAATCATTTCTGATGCGCCGTAATTCTGAAGGAGAACCTTTTGAACTTTAACAGTGAAATTGACAAAATAGCGCATACGTCACTGGACCGAGTGCAACTCGGGATAAAAACACACATTTTTAGTTCCTTGCTATATTAATTCTGATACCTAGATCCATGCCTGCTGATTGGAAATAGTATTTCCATTTACGATAATCATCCATATGTGCGACTGTGTGAGAATATAGGAGACAATTATTAAACGCGATCTTTTCGAAATTTAAGTAAAAGACTCTGTTGGATTAGAAAGAACCTGCTAAATCCAAATTTGCTTGTTTTCAACCCAGGTTTTGTGACCTTATGCTCAAAATCCAAGATGATCTATAGTTTTAAGGGTCGAGAATAGGATGAGTGCAGGGACTATGGAAGAAAATAAACGCAGTTGTTTCTAAGTTTTCAAAACTAAGTTTGAATAGCTAGGAGATATGCTGAAGGCTTAATAAGCTGGAAACCAATAGAAGAAGTAACAGAAAAATGTAGTAGACTGAAAAACATGGTAGAATGATCCGCGGCGAAAGTTTAAACTAAATGGAATAAATTTGTTCCTGGGTCAGTGAAAGCCTAATAAGTTCTTCCTTGAGCGATGATAAACATAATACTAATGCAAACAGAATTGGAAAATTCGAAACCGTTCGCGACTTATCATGTACACAGACGGACGGACAAAAAGTCCAAAATCATGAACTCACTTTAGGAGCACGTTTAATAAGGAATGGGCTCCACGGTTTATTGTAGTGAACTTAATGAAAGGTAATCGATATGAGAAAATATTTATACCTTCGCCATATTATTCTTTAATTATTAAAATTTAACATATACTACATGTTTCGACATAACCATGTATCATCATCAGGTAAAAGAACTAGTTATCACAAAGAGGTTAAATTTAACAAGACAATCAATTTCAAAATTATAATGGTCAAAAGATCCGGTGTACGAGACAGAAGGCTTCGTCGGAATGGTAACGTGAAACGGTGTCAAAATGTAATGAAAAATGATCGGGTGGTACGAGGCAGAAGGCATCGGAATTCAACAAAGCTAGGAGTAAGAGGATAAGCACACATCTCCAACTGACTAAAAATTCAAAAGCTGAAAGCCAACATGACGAAAACAAAAGGTCAAGTGATAACAACCATCACAAGCCACAAGGTAAAAAACAAACTGGAAAACCAGATTCAACTCCAAAGGAGAAGTTGCAAGTGAACATGGGGATAGGTAATTAATCAAAACAAAAAACAACAGTAAATCACACCGCATTTGCAATAATAAAAAACTTATGAGATTAAAAGGGAATCGCACCGCTTAGGGCCATGCTTCCCGGATGAAGACGAAATGCGCGTCTTCATAATAAATATGACGATTAGGTTAACAAAACATTTTCAGCCGTTATTGATTTTTTTTGGGTAACACTGGACACTTCACTAACTATAAATTACACAATGAGAAGCTTAGTCAGAAGTTACAAACTAGAATAGTTATTTGTACAACTAGTTTTGAAAGTGATACTTTTTTTCATGAATTTGCAGTTTGATTAATGAGGGAAAGTCATGGAAAAAAGACACTTTCAACACGTGTTGTACACGAAATTTTTTTGCATAGTGATCCATAATAACTCACAATTGAATAATTTGATTGACATTCGCGATTTACTGTCGCTCAAAAATGGATGCTATTGTTCATAGACAGGACTAAATTCCATGGAAACGCATAGTAAAAATCGTGAAAAAAAGCATGCCTGTTGAGGGCCCAGAACAAGAGAGGGATAATAAATAAGTATGGAAAAATAGTCACTATGTCTCAAGGATTGATACACAACTAAATACAACAAAGACAATAATTGCTGGCACATTTAAATCTATTCATATACCTTGGCTACATGTTCTCTCCAACATTGCTCCACCCAATATCAGACTAGAATTGTTTTTAAAAAATTGTGGGACAAATATAAAAAACGCCGATTTCCCCATAAATTTAGATGTGAATAATTTACCTTTTTATCGATTAAAATTACGAAACCCGTTATGGAAAGAAGACTACATACATTCAAATGCATATTCCATTATAGAACGTTGGAAAACTTTTTGGATACAGCATAATAACACAATTTTTATCAAAATTTAATCAAAGAACCATCCACTGAAGTTGCAGGGCTTGATCTTCCAAAGAAAAATGTGGGTCAAATTAAATCGTATAAGAACAGGGCATGGAAGATGCTATTACCTACATGTTACACAAATGGAACCCAGAACACAGTCCAGCCTGCCCTCGAGCCTGCCTATGCGGAGATCATAAAGAAACAATCCAACATCTTTGAGGAATGTCCAAATTCAAAGTTTAATCCAGGTTTTGAAGCACTTAGCCAGATTTCTCCTGTAGAACTAGAATGGTTAAAACAGCTTAAAGCCTTATAAAATTAAATTTGTCCTGGCAAGATTGAATTAGAGGTGTAAATTTTCATACGGTTATATATATGTGCGTGAATAGATTTAAAAAAAATTGATGTAAAGAAAATACAAAATACAGGCAAACGAACACTAATTAAAACATAAAAAAAGTTACGTACCTTCTTTGGTTGTTCCCTTTCGTCGTTTTCTTAATCTAAACTTCCGTAATGAATTCCAAGCATGTCGCCAGCGTGTAGATTTCTCTTTCTTAGGTATTTCACCACCCGAAGTTGTTTGTCTTGGGAGCGTTCCCTGATTTTCTAAACACTTCATCCACGGCACTTTCATATTTATAATAGAAGTTTACCAATATTCGTACAATAAAAGTGTGCGGAAAATACCGAAAATAATAATAAGCGGCGGTGACAATGGGAACGATGAGATGATATAAACACGCAAATTTTGATACTTGCACTGAATGACATAACGCACTCCCTCAATTTTTCCGCGAGCTTCTTCTCATTAGATTAGATCGAGTTTCTCGGTATAGGAAACACAAACTTAGCGGAACTAATACGTCTGACACACCTTTAACGACGTTCCTTCACAATAACCATCAAGTACGTTTCGACGGGGCTACTTAATCTATTTCTGTTATCTTTCGTATTTCGAGTTTTCGTTTAGGTGCAGTAGTGAAAAGCGCGGCCGCTGGAAAAGCTGTCAACATTTTAATTTCCGTTTACCCAATTCTGCTAATTTGTTGGGAACGCGGTATTTCATTTAATAGGCTCGTTCATCGGTTACGTGGCACTGACATGTTGTTTTTTTATGTATATATTTTCACTACTTAAGTTGATTATGTCATCCCCGGGCATATTTATAAGTGTATACTTACATTAAGCTTATTACAATTGGTTAGTTGGTTAGTAACTATCGCTTTTAAGTTTTAATGCGACATAATATAGTAGCAACGATTAGAAACAAATAGGTAAATAGTAAAATACCTACATTCAATGATGAACATTATTGCAGAACTTGTCAATACTGAGAGTTTTGGTCGTTTCCCCTAAAAGCTCTAGTGTTTTTGACAAATAGAAATAGTCCGATAATTAATCAATTTTGAAAATATGGTAGAAATTTTCATTCAGAAAGACCGCATGAAAACTTGCTGAAACGAATGACCTAATTCCAATTAACATAGTAATAATTTGCCATGTACTTCCATTCATAGAATTGATTTGCTGAAGATGCTTTGAGGGTTCCTTTGGCGATTTCGAGAGCTAATTACGATATTGCATTACAACCTCCACTTCTGCAAGCTTATATTTAGTATTTGTGTAATTATTAGAATAAAAAGCATTTCCCTTTTGTTTATTTAACACATAAAAGGTAAAGAAACACGAATTAAATGTATATTCGCGAGGCAGTTGAGATTCAATATGTGAAAGCACGGTATACTTTGTTTCACTGGTGCTGAACCTGACGTCATAAATGTGATTCTCTCTTCATTACATTTAAATCGATTGAGACAAAAAAATTACGTCATTAACGTAAGTCGTGACAAATAAACCAATTGATCTGTCATAATATGAATCCGTCAAATGATTTTCGTTATAGACAGATTTCCAGTGTTAAATGCCTTTTGATTAGGTAGTTTGTGTTAAAAGTGAAGTAAATATCATCAAAGTTAAAAACGCTTAGGCAAGTCGACAGTGCAGCAACGCCGTTAATAGACAAGTATTTTAAAAATTTTACCACATAATGGTTCGATTCGCTCATATCATGAATTTAGGTCATTCCCGTTACCATTAGGTAAATATGACGAACCGATACACAGAATGAAGATGTTCGCCAGAACACTTAGGTATTGAATTGATTTTATAGGTGAGAATGTTACACTCCGTTCCTTACACAGTAATCTTCAACGACTTGATGGCGTCGAAATATCTGGTACCTCTTTGTCCCGCAGTTTGAAGAAACTGAAATTCACGTGGCGGAGATGCACCGTTTCCAATAGATTATTTTTAATGGAACAGCCCTATGCAGTTCAAAGAAGACTACAATTTTTGAGAGACTTTAAACACAACGAAACTTCACTCTTTCCATTACGACCTGTGGTTTTAGACGAAACCTGGATGTACAGTAAAGGGTCTTTTAGAAGAAGCTGGCAAGATGGTACTCTCAAAACAGTTAGAAAAAGAAGTGAGTGAAGGGGTCCGGTATATACCTACTACTCCATGCAGGATCAGAAGATGGATTTGTGGTGTAGTGTCGTTTTTTCTTTTGTACATACGAATATGAACATTTGAGAGTTTTTTCAGGAATAAATATCATCACTACCTGTTTTCTCTCACAATTGCGTTTTTTTTTTAATAAATCGGATCAGAAGATATTCAAGATCCTTATGCGAATATCTCGACTGTGTGGCAAAAGAACAGAAACTGTATGTAGGTATGCGTTGTTATTTCAATGAGCCAGTGGTATAATGACTACGCTTTATCTCAAATTTGTAAGATGTATAAATGCAAAAGGCTTACCGATAAACCATGGCCTATTCTACTTCTGCAAATGGCTAGTTAAGGGTCATTAAAATTCGCGCAACTTAACGCGTATTCTTCACATTGGTAGCATACCTACTTAATTTTACATCAACATTATGTAAACAAAATATTAATTTACGAACTGCCTAAACAAACTTTAAGTTACAAATGGTCCTATGCGTTTTCTGTAACCATCATACACTTCATCTCAAAGAGTTTCGGATGCTCTAGCAGTATCCATTTCGATTGTCGGTGCAAAGAATCGGTTACGTGAGGTGATTACAAACGGTGGAAAAGGTTTAATTCATACCAACGGACTTCCTCTACATAAAATACATGACCATTTACCCATTATAAAACTTAAGAACAGGAAAAAACCTATCAGGACCAGATGCCTTATAAGTGATTGTCAACTTGGGCGGTCTAATCATGATGAACGATAGTGACACCTTAATAAATAAGTTGAAACGTCAATGTGACAATATGTAAACCAACTACTAATTTACGACCTGCCTTAATTTTGCTATGACGTCAGATAGTGTGACGAAAGGTTCAGCACCCTTGAAACAAAGTATATTTCCATGAAAGTAACTCTACTAGATAAGTTAACGGTTAAGTGAAAAATCATCTCTAATCATCTCTTTCGAAAAATTCCCCTTATGTGACAGTTATATTGGTAAGAAAAAATGCCAGGACATATTATAACATTTTGATTTGCTCATGTACACTTAAATTCTAGGTTGTTTGAGGATCACTGTATGTTCCATTTGTATCCGGTTTAGATTTTTGACCACTCGAGTCGAATGTTTTATGTTGATGGATAAGTACAAGTCGTAGGTGAATTTATACTCCCATCCATGTATTTCCTTTGTAACCCGTAGTGAAAATGTAAGTTATTTCTATAGTTGTTATTACCTTAGTTCTTTATTTTTGCCGTTAGAGGCCATCCGAGTGCAATAGGTTTTGTTCTTTATTTCGCAGCTAGAAGTTGTGATCTCTTTTCTTTTCTACAAACCGATTCCTTTCGCGCAGTGAAGATTTGGCCTTCATATTGGTTGCATGCAAATTATTTTTCTGGTACGCCATTACTCGTTTTGACTTTTTGTCTATCTGAATAAGTGCTCCGCGGATTTGTATTATGCAAGTAATTGATGTGAGGGCTTTATTTTCCCTCACAGTTCCCTTTATCTTCCCTCAAAGTTTTCTCTTAAGTTCTCATCGTTTCGGATTACGTTTCCGTTATTCCGTTATTATCCACTTGGATATTAGTTATTACAGTTATTAGGCATAATCGAAGATTCATTTGTACTAGTTTTATTACTTTGCATCTTTCAAATCAGCTTTTGTGACGTTACTTTCTTACCGATTGATATTCCCGATCTAAATGCTATTTAAGTAACCTTTTGATTCTTACTCTCATGTTAGAAATTTGTTATAGTTTAAATGTAAATTATGTCTGTACTAGGGTTCTTTTACGTAGTTCTTTGTTTTGAAGTTAGACGCCATTCAAGTGTTACAGGTTTCTTTTACCTAGTTCTTTGTTTCGTCGCTAGAGGTTGTGATCTTCTTTTTTTTTCTACTTACGCCTTCTTTTCAGTGAAGACTCTGCCTTTGTGTTGGTTGGTGACAAATTATTTTTCTTCGGTACGCCATTACTTTTACTGACTTCGTGTCTACCCGTTCAAGGGCTTTTAGTTTTCGCTGTTACCATATATTTTAGGAGCGGTTTCTCTTTCTTTTTGATGTCTGTGGCTGTGCTTCAGTGAAGCGTTTTACGGATTTGCATTTGCAACTAATCAGCACAAGATGTGTGAGATTAATGACATCGCATGCCCGTATTCATATACCGAACGAATTTGCCCGAATGGGTTCGTCCGAATTCTCCCGAATTCGTTCACGTTAATATGTCTGCCCACACTCTTCCGAACGACTGCCTTCTCAAGCACGTTTATTTTCGCGAGTGTACACCGAATACTGTGGGAAGCCGTACACCTTAGAAAATATACCGAACGAATTCTGTGCCGCCTGGTGAGCGAAAACTAGGGAATGCTAACATATTCGTTTGCTTGTGATTGGTTGTACGTACACACTAGCTGCACGAATCCATTCGGCCGAATTCGTTGGCGATATGAATACGCGCCTTTATTAGGATTGATATTGGCAAACGTCACGCTATAGATGAATTTCTACATTACCGGCCTGGAAAATTCTACTTCATTATACCTACATTAATCTGGTGAATCTACTTCATTTTATCAACATTACTAGCTACTCGAAGTTTGTATCGATATTAGTACCGTTGCTTTGTAAATTAGACTTGAAGTTACCGAGACTTTGTCCGAAGACGATATCTATAATTTTTAGTTTTTTTTTTCCGAAGAATTTGTTCATACTACTTTATTTACATTTCGAATTAATTAGATTGCATTGCATTGCTAGAAATTTAGTAATTTGTGCGCCGTAAAGTTGCTAAAAATTGATTTAAATTTAAAAATTGACATTTCAGATCGAGATACTTCAGTTTCCTTTCTGGTAATATTATGGATCATTTATTAAATTACCCTCGATTGCAACATCAATTCTTGTTAATATTCTGCCCTGTCCATGAAATCTGTTCATTAAAATAAGATCCGTTCCATAGAAACAGCTCTGTTCAGTAGAGATAGGTCCGTTTAACAGAATCAGGTTCGTTCCTGCTCAACCATTGTGTTTCTAACAAACAGACCTGTATCAGGGGACGGCATGTTTGGACCTGTCAACCACAGTATACCTTTGTCCATTTTTAACGCGATTTAAAATAGAGGAAGATATCCTACCGGAACAGTTGCTACCATACACATAAGCAACACTAACATTCATCATTGCCTGAGAAGAGAAACGGTAAAAAACCAATAAAGCATTTAAATTACTACTTAACTTCCACTAAATCTTACTAAAAAAGTTAATGGGCACCTACCTAGGGCCCTTCC